CTCATGCGGCAGCCCAGCGTCACGATCGGCCGCAACTCGTCACAGGGCTCAGTGGACCTGAGCATGGGCCTGTCCAGCTTCATCTCACGGCGCCACCTGCAACTCAGCTTCCAGGAGCCGCACTTCTATCTACGCTGCCTCGGCAAGAACGGCGTCTTCGTGGACGGGGCCTTCCAGCGGCGCGGCGCGCCCGCCTTGCAGCTGCCTAAGCAGTGAGTGTCCGTGCCCCCGCCCGGCTGGACTCCCGGGGTCATCTCGGCCTCGCTTGTGTGGACCCCCAAGGTCACCCCACCCCCACTCTGTCTGAACAGCCCCCCTCCCCGTCACCACGACTCTGGCCAACCTGGACCCCCAAGGTCATCATCTTCCCCCCCCTTCAGTCCCTCTTGATTTCCACCGACCTGGATCTCCCACGGTTACCCCTGACCCAATCACCGTCATCCTGGACCCCCAGATTCACCCCCGACCCCCAGATTCATCCTTGACCCTGCAGGCCTGGACCCTGAAGTCAACCCCGCTTCCATGTCCAGTCTGAGCCTGGTGGAGGGGGGCATCAGACAGTGATAGGGTGTCGCTTTGGGAGTGCAGTGTTCTGGGGAGCAGCAGCAGCCCCTGAAAGCCCGAGCCCTCCGTTGGAGCTTCCTGGCAGTAGGGCAGATTTGAAAGGGCAGAGGCTTTGCGGGCTGCTGGTGGTGGAGGGATAGGACAGGAAGCTCTCGCAGCCTCAATATACCGCGAAAACGCAGGTGAGGATGGGGGTGGGTGCCTTTGAGAGCTCCTGGGAGGAGCAGCAGAACCCCGAACTTGGGAAGTCACCTCAGAGCACAGTTAAATTCCCCTGGGCTGGAGCAAGCCAGAGGATGGTCCCAGTTAGGCCTGTCGATGCCTCAGCAGCACCCTGCAACCCTCCCGCCCTTTCTCTCTTTTCCGGCCCCAGTACACTCTGCCCACTCTCTGCACTGACCCCCAGGGATCCCAGATCTCAAAATCTGTTGATCAGGAGAAAGCCTATTTAATTACTCATTTCCTCTGTAGGCACTTTCTTTTTCTATTTAGTAATTGCTTCTAACTCCTCACTAGTGTTTATGATCCTTCAGTGTGGTTCACGTTCAAGAGCTGTCTTTGACTGTCTAATTATTCTCTTTCATAAGTGCCCTTCCGTCTAGGGAATTTTTGCTGGGGTAATTCCCAGAGCCCAAAGTTTGTTTCTATAAACTTCTCCCCTTTCTGAGGTCTTGACATGTTTGGTTATAAATATTGTATTGAATAATTTGGAAGTGCAATATCAACAATGACTCACTCTTACTTAGGGCATGGGAGTGAAAGTTCTATATACCTCCATTTTCCAAATGTGAGAGAGATGTATTTCAGTAAAACCAGGACTCAGCAAATAACAAAGTTGTTCTGTACCTTGGCTAGTGCTCTGTTCTGTCTTTTGGATAACCTACACACACACACTCCATTCTGGGCCATTAAATGCATTTCCTGGCCAGTCTCTTTGAATGAGAAAATGACAGGTAAATTACTCCTCTCACCCCTCCCATCTCCCCTGGGGCTCTTAGAGGCCTGTTTCTGCTAATGTGCCTTTATATAATTCAGGTTCTCTAAGTGCTTCCATTAAACAATCTTGTTTTCAGGGTTTCCTGCACTAGCTGTTGAACAGGTACACTTCTGGCCAGGATGCAGTTACTGAATCTTGAATGAGACTTTTGCATTAAGACTTTCCTCTAACTCAAGGGGGAAATTTTCAACCTGTAGAGTCCTCAGATCGTCTACTGAATAGTCCAGAATCAAGTCTATTATTTATGAAATGCTGTTGATGTGCACGGGGACTTGGAAATTTATACTCCAGGGAGCTTGTGTTCTTAGTGCGTGCATTGCAGGGCATTGTGGAATAGAAGGCAGGCTAAACATTTGCCCACCTGCTGGTCTGGTGCTGTAGGTGTGCATGAAGTGCTTTGCTCCACCATGGCAGTCTGTCTGTATTTGACTTCAGCTGCGCTTCTGAGCAATACCCATGTAGGCAGTGATGTCACATTTACAAGAACAGAACAAATGTGCAGAAAGAAAACTGTTAAGTGGATGTCCATGTCAATCCCAAAGAAATGCTATTTGCTTCTGAAAACTGTTGAAGGCTGTCAACAGATATGTTTAGCAGTTTGAGCAATCTTACATTCTTTTTTACTCTAGAAAATGTAAACCTAAGGAGTTGTACTTATACAGAGAGCAAGCCGTTGTGAACTTTTTCAGAGTTAGGTCAAGGTTTGGAGGCCTACTACAGCAAGTAATCAAGAAAGTTTAATTCAGGACAAGGAAGTTGGATGGGTAAATTTTTGTCATCCCCAAATAAATTCATTACTGACTTTAAAGGAATAATTATTGTATCTACTTTCTCCCAGACTTTGGTATCCAGTTTTGCCATTAATATTTGAAGTTATGAATTTCTCTACCATAAACTACACATTTCTGGTTGCATCAGAATTTTGTTGGTTTAAGTATGCCTAGATTTGGTGGTCTGTAGTCGTCTAAATCTTGGAGGTGCCCCCACTGTTTCCCAAAGCATCTCATCCTCAGTTGCCTTTTTCTCTACCCCATAGGACAGGTGGCAGCCACATGGTGACATTTGCAAACCCCACACACTTCCCTGTGCAGCTCCCACTTAGGAGGCGAACCAGAATTTACCCTCATTTGCTAGAAGTTTATCCTTCCGGATCTTTAATCATTGGTTGGGAAAATATGATGCTGTCTTGGCTTAGAGCTGATCTTGATATGCTGATGTCTCTGACTCAGCAGTGGAGAATCACATGGAAGGTGCCAAGCAGAGGAGAGTGTGCATTGATTCAGCATTTACCTGCATTAACTAGGCGGAACTATTCTGCACGTGCCACAGGTGTAGCCTTTCTTCTAGACTCTAAACTCCCTGAGGCTGGGGCCAAGAACTTTTCCTCTTTAACCAGAGATTTAGACAGGGAATTGGCTGGCAATAGGTTTGCCACAACTGAGTTATGTCTGTTGAGCGAATACACTAGAGACTAATGACTTTGCAACTTCCATAAGAAACAGCATCCCTAGGTCAGCTTGGTTTCCCTAACATGGACAATCAGCATGGCAGAGGGAAAATGTAGACAGGCTTCGTTGGTTATGTAGACAGGGATGTGTGTGTGTGTGTGTGTGTGTGTGTGTGTGTGTGTGTGTGTCTGTCTATAGTTCTTTTTATTATTTATTTTTTTAATTGACAGAAGGTGTGCGTGTTCACCAGAAAGAGAAGTCACATCCCCTCCCCTTTCAGTGTGATGTGCTATCACCACAATCCCTTCTTTTCCATTTCTCCATCCTTTCAGAATTTGGGCCACACAAACATGCATTCCTGTTGCTTTGCCACTGGGGCTGGGATTTGAACCAAGGTCTGTGTACGAGCTTCTGCTCCCAATGCACATTGCTTGCCCACTGTGCACAGGGCTGGCCCATCTATTGTTCATGATACCACTTAATTTCAAATTTGAATTAGATGTTACTCATGATCCTAAAAAAAATGAGAGAGAAGACCCCATACATAGTCCCTTATTTGTTCTTCACTCTTTTCCTGCAACCTTTTTTACCATTGACATTTACAGTGAATGTAAATTACTTGAATAATTATAGTGAAAACAAGACTTCTGCTTATGGTAGCTTCGAATGGTAAAATTATGAGACTCTCTTTTTCTTTATGCTTTCCTGTGTTTTCCAAATTGTCTGCAACAAGCATGGTTACTTTTATTTTAAATACTTTCCCCCTACCCCCCAGAAAGTACATGTGCTCTTGGGAGAGAGACAGGAAGAGAGAGGGAAGGTCAGAAAGCGTCCCCACAGGGAATGGTCATGCTGCAATCCCTTCTTCTTCATTTCTCCTCCTGTTGGGATTTAGGGCGTGCACACATGTGTGCCCAGTGTGTTTTTGAAGCTGCCATGTCCAGGACTCAACTGTGGAGTCAGCTGTGAGGGGCCCGGTTGCCTTAACCACCACATCTTGGGTTGGCTCTTAAACACTTTTTGTTAAAGAAAATTTCAGAATAAGGAAGCAGTTATCATCTCATGACCATGCTTGTTTTATCTTTGTTCCCACCCACTTCCCTCCCTGTCCCCGGTTACTTAGAAGCAAATCACAGATACATCATTCTGTCTATAAATATTTTCTTAAAAGTCTCTAAAAGATAAGAATTATCTTTTAAAAACCACAATGTCATTATCACACTTAAAAAATTAATAATGTCTTACCATCATCAAATATCCAGTCAGCATATGGATTTTTCTTAGTGAATTCTTGACTTATTTTTTCACCATGTATCTATTTTATTTTTATATATAAATTTGAGTCAGGATCTGAATGCAGTCCAGACCCGGTGGTAGGTTGATGTGTCTTTTATATCTTTTAGTATATTAAAAATTTTTTTATTTTTAATTGCTGAGGTCACTTGTGCTTGCCAGAGAGAGACAGAAGGAGAAAATGTCCCCAATTGGGGATGGTCACATCACACAGTCCCTCCTCCATTTCTCCTTTCTGTTGGGATTTTGGACACATTTTCTACACACACTGGCAAACCGCCGGTTCCAGCATTTGAACCACATTGTCACCATCTGGGATCTGGTGCCTTTAACCACTAGGCTATGGGTTCAGCCCTATCTCTTAATCTGTTTTCCTCATAGGGTAATTTGTCCTATGTATTTTCCCACATCTGCTTTTATAGATTGAATTCCTGGAGCATCCTCTCCTCTGTCATTCCTGTAAATTGGTTGTTAGACACAGAGATTTGATCAGGTTTGATTCTGTTCTCCCTTCCCACAAAAGAACCGCCTCATAGTTGGTGTACAAGCCTGCCAGAGGTGGGAACGTCTGCTTGTAGTGTGAGCAGCTTTTGACGGTCGTTACTAGGTACTTTAATTTATTATCACCTGTACTTTTTTGCAGTTCATTTTGGCTGCCTGTGCCGGGTCCTTAGTGGCACTGACAGACACATCCTCTGCCCATAGACGCTCTGTGAATGGCAGATGCTGTGGATCACAGCTTCTGCACGTGGACCGTAGTAAAAAGTAATTCATCGTAAACACCACAGCGTTTAACACATGTATGTTAGGCCCTTATTATAAAAACATATAGAACACAGCTTCTCATTGGTCTTTCCAACTGGTCACTTGAAGAATATCAAATTAGTTATTAACCATCAATTAGTTATCA